AAAAGTATAATAAGTATAAATAAAACAGAAGTATAAATAAAACAGAATATAAATGTGTTTTTATACTTACACATATATATGACAAACAAGATATGGTAAAATAAATGAAATTATAGGAAATGAATGCTAGAATAGATAGATATTAGATAGTTAGATATAGATTGACATAAATTTTAAAATAGATTAATAAAATATACTAATATATTAGATTAATAAAAATTATTATTAAATTATTATTATTATTATTATTAAATTATTATTATTATTATTACTATTAATTTAATATTTAATTATTATTATTATTAAATTAGATTAATAAAATATACTAATATATTACATCATTTATAGATTTTATTATCTTATTTATTAGGTCGTGTTTTAAATAGAAATTTTAAAAATTAATTTAAAATTTTACAAATTAAATTAAATAGGCTATAATTTTTTAAATTTAGTCCTTGCAAATCCAAATATATTGTAATATATATTTTTTTACAGAAGTGAAATAACAGCAGAATTCAAGAGGTCCTTACATCCAAAGAATTTTTACATCCAAATTGGTTTCAAAGGTAGGAAATTATATCATTTTTATATTGTTCATATTGGATGATATTTTTATTTTTAACTGTGGCTTTGGAACAAAATATTATACATATTTCAATGTTTGAAATTTAATGCTACAACCAATAGATAATGTTCAATTTCAATTACTTACACAGATATGCGTCATTTAAAATTTTAAAATTTTATTACACAGTCATATAATGTAAATCTTTTAAATTACATTGTCATAGTAAAGTATTTACTTTGAGATATAGTACTTGGAGAAGTTTACATAAGATTTGATTTGATTTATTTAAAAAAGCTTTGAAGTTTGTTTGAACTCTTCTATTGTAATATAGCTATATATAAATGAAATTGAAGAATGGATAATTTTATTTCCAACGTGTTGATATTATACTATATTTATAAAGTTCGAATATTTAAATCACGATTTAAATATTCGAACAATTATAGAACTTCGTACTTTTATCTTAAGATCGACCGTTTTTGACCATTTTAACCATTGGGTCGATTCCACTTACCGTGAATCGGGTTCACCTACCTTATTACGTTCTGTGATAATCGATAGTGATGTTATTTCAGAAACGATAGGCACCTTAAAGTACGATAGTTTCATATAACTGTTTGGAACTTATGACTTGTAGGGACTATTTTTATCGATGCTGCTCTCAAAATCGATCTGTAACAAAGATATTCAAGGCTAGAATTAGTTGTTAGAAGATATGCTAGAATCTCTTGATTTCTTGTATTGAACTAGGATTATTTACAAAGTTTTACAAGTCGTAAGTTATGGATTGTGACCAATAAATGTTTTTTCACAGTCAAAATAAGTTCAACCGAGCCAAAGTATACAGTGTTTACAAGAATTATAGTGAAAGGAAAAATTTACAATTGTGTTGCCCTCTGATTTAAATCTCATTGAAAAAATGTGAACCAAAATTAGAAGAGAAATTTGATTTAGTTATACATAAAAGAGCATCGAATACACGAGTTAAAAATTGTGAATTGTCTTAGCTTCCAAATGAAATAGTAATTTTTAATAGATTTGATAATTTCCTAATGATTATTCAGGTTCGCTCAACTCTTCAAGTACCTACATATGTATATCTGTGGCTAGTCTTTGAAAGAATCAATAATTAGCGGAATTAGCAACATGAATAATGTGACAAGTACATACATATATATATGAGAAAGAAATTTAATACAATTATACATATTTTATCAACAGATAATTGCTTAAAATTTTAATAATCTTCCAAAGATTATTCAGATTTATAATTTTTTCTAAGTCGCACGATATTTATCTACATCAATACACGTGACGAAAGAAATAAACTGCGAGTTATTTCTTTTCGAATGGAAGGACCACACTGGTAGGCCACCGCATGGCGGTGTGTTGCACAGTGAAAGATATCAGCAGCAAGTATCTCGGGCTTTTGTCCTTTAACGGGGCTGCAGAGAGCACCGAAGAACCAGTGGTTTGCGTGCACGACGCGATAGGCTAATTAATTAGATTCCTCTGGAAAGGCATAGCGGCAGCCGGCAGAAGGAATCGGGCGACGTGGATGACACGGGAGATAGGTTATGTATTCTAATCCAGCTAGGCAGAGATACTTGCACATTCCCCCCGATGTGGCACGGGTTCGCATTTCAATGAGAGATCCGTTCGTTAGATGTTAGATCGTCGTCGTTCCCCCTGTTTCGCTCTCTTTATCTTCTATCGAGCTTTCCTCCTGCATGCCTGTTCGCAGGCTAACCCGATCCTATCCAAAGGATACGTTTAATCCCTCTTACGCGACGTCTATCTTTGACAGAAGGTTTGTAGTTCGCGCCAACAACTCGGAAACTGCTCATATCGAGCATATACCGCGTATGAAACCACCATCACTTTGAAACTGAACTGATGGAGCTACTTGCGTCGTTTGAGATGCTTAGTTGGAGGGTTACTCGGTGTTATACCCTCTTTCACGTATGGAAGTTAGTTCGCAGTTCTTCCGTCAAGACTTACGTTGTTAAGTCTAACAAGATACTCGAGATCGTTTCTCGGCCTTCGCTGAAGAACGGATATGTGTGCGTGCGGAATGACAAGTGGCCGGGGGAAGCTTTGGACCTCCCTTGGAATTCGGCTTTCCTACAGAACGCTAGAGAGACGATCCGTAGATCTGGTTTTTGTTAATGATAACAGGCCACTTTAGCCTGGCGCCTGGCGATGAACTTGTTTCTCGAGCATCGCCGCACGATCGCCATAATGCGTGTCGACTTGTTCGTTTCGAGTATATCACGTACTTGCCGGTGTTTCTTTGATGAACCGAAACTTTGAAGTTTAGAAGTGGTTTGATTAATTCGTTTCGAAAGTTGTTTTGTGGGATTTTGTTCAGGAACTGTGCGGCAGGGAACTGTCGTAGAAATTATCGTTTATTGCGAAGGTAATTTTAAAATTAATTGTGATAATATTATGAAATGAGTAAAATGAGAACATTTTTGTTTGATTAAATGTTTTATATTCGCGAATCTGGAAGGAAATGAAATTGAACGTTGTGGGAGGGAATCCTCAAAATTAATTTCAAACATTTATAATTAGAACTAATATAAATATAACTAATTATGAATGTATTAATTTAAAATTATATAAAAATTATCTATATAATTATATAGAGAATAACCACGTTAGGCCAAAAATTGATGATGAAGTCGTTGTTTCTCAATATGATATTTTTGATTTGTTCGTCTGGTTGTTGGTTAACAGAAAATAACGAAAATTTTATCATTTCGTTCTACTTACGAACTTAATTGTTTGAAGAAATCTCTCGGCTCGCGATATTTAACTATTAATCCCACTTGTTAGTAAACTCTGAGAGGATTTCACCAACTGCGGAGGTTAGACAACGGTACATAAAAATTTACTCGAAGTCGAGTATTTTTAAGCAGCAACTCGTGAGAGTTACATCTCGTGAATTACGTCAAGAACAGGGTAGGACTCTCCTAGAGCGAGCTTAATTTGCGAATTACGTCGGGTACACGAGAGAAGTGCAATGTCTCTTGCAACGAGACAGTCCTCCGCAGCTTTCAGACGGTTTATGCTTCGCTCTGTTGAAAAACGAGTCGAGGGCCGCAATAATTCGAAACGTCCCGCGAATAACTTCACTAACGTATTTATGTACTCGCTAGCGCTTCGCGATAATTATCGGCCCATTAAATATCAATCCGGCATAAATTCTCCCACGATAAGATAGGCCACGAGAATATTTCGCTGAACCGAGCTAGTTTCTCTTTCTGGCGAGGTTTTTTTCCCCCCCCCGCGATGGCATTGCTAGCTTATCGGATCATGAAAGTATCAGCGATCAGGCAAAACGACAACTTCCTGCAGTGCTGCCTTGCGAATTACGTTGGCAGCAGAGTATCGCGAAAGTTGGCTGAGTCGAATCGTGGCAGGTTCTCGTTGCCTTTCAGGTGACTTATCGTCCTCGTCGTCAGGAATTACGAGCACCGACGAGGAGAGACGAGGGGACACGCGAGCCTCCGTGAAAACGGCATCGATCGATCGATCCGTGGAACAACAAAACCATTATCTGCTTCAGGCGTTCAAGCACAAGGTAAACTGTTTCTCCTCGTTGAAGTAGGGCTGTTCTGCCGGAAGTCGCAGGGTCACTGGCTGCTTCTCGACGTTGCGGCAAGACGCGCACCCTCCTCTGATCTATTTGTTAGTCGTTTCCAAACCATTGTGAGCGATTTAAAATCCGCGTCCCAGCGATGAAAAGACAATATCGACCGTTTTCGGCGGTTTTAGCATATATACATACATACTGTATACTTGCGACAAAGGCCAGACAACTCGAAAGAGGACAAGCGAAAAGCAGTTCTTGGATATACCAGACAGTCGTATCATTTGTTCACTATAATAGACAGGATGAAACTTATAATAAGAAATACGTTATTTTTTGATAGAGTCACACGAACCAGCTCTCCATCGTCTAAATTTTAAAGACAAATGAACAAGTCTAATCTCATAGCGTTTATGGTGTCACTTTCATTGCAAGTATACGATGTGCAATATGCAATATCAATGTAATTTTAAATGATGTATCTAATATTGTTATATTCTTCGAATTTCATATATTTCAATGCTGCATCTTATAAACTTGTGTAAACTTATTTTTTAACTCGATATTAATTTTTCAATAATATTTCGCAGCCTCTCAAGCGTTTCTATGCATTTCTCAATCCTAGTTCAAGTTTCTTTTAATGAAAGCAATAATTTAACTTTCTGCCAGGGATTCATTTAAAGACGATAAACAATGAACGATTGTTTTCGAGGAAAGCATAATATTTAGATTGGCGTAGCTTCCAACTGGAATCGTCGGTGCCTTTTCTTAATTTCAGCCTGCCTCTTCTCATGAATACCATGGTTTACTGAGGGCGATACGCTGACGCGAAGCTAAGAAAAGGATTACAATGATTATTTGTACAGGCCGATTCCGGCAGCGCTTTGCATCTGCCGTGGGAAATAGAGCATTGAACCCGTTTGCGCAGACACACATTTTCCACATTCTTACCACGAATACCGTTTCCATGAATTGATTCTTAATTCCTCGAGATTAGATTCAATATTGCCACGGGCATAGGAAAGTTTGGAAAGAATGAAGATCTCATCTAGGAAGGAAATTATATATAAAATTGCAAATTCAAATTCTAAATCTTGATAAGCATCGGCTGATTCAGGAATTATTAAATACTTCGTGAAATATATTTTAGTAGAGATAGACCTAATATTTCAGCGTACAGAATGTTGTCAATGTGTAAAGGAATTCAATTATAATAAAAGTGGATTCTTCAGAAACAGATGTTGACTATTGATATTTTAAGATGAATTTTTCTCTATTCTTTTTTTACAAAAATTCAATAAAATTTATTTATTTCTGAAATCTTGGTCTTTAGAATAAATAAAAAAAATAATTCAAATAAGAATAATTATTGTACACGTACGTACAGATGGAAGAATATCTATTCTGTTACAACACACACACATTTGAAACATTTTCTTGTTTTATATTGCATTTACAAACGTGTTATCCACACGTGTTTCATCTATTAATGGAACAAAGAATATACAAAATTTCTTACAAAAAGGAATGAACGAGAGCAGGAAAAAGTAAGAGAAATTCAAAATTGCGGGATATTATTCTCAAATTATTTAAATTTCTGTCAAGTTTTAAAACGTCCAATTAAACCACAGGAATATGTATATGTAGAAAAAGAACGACGTCATAAGTGGATACTCATTAAAACAGCAAATATAATTTGAAAGGACATTCAACCTTCCATATAATTTTTTCCACCTCTATGAGACAAATTTAGCAAAATAATGAACGTTTCGTTAAAACTTTTAATACGTTCGTGTATCTACCCAGGGCCCATTTTATCGAAATGTATGAAGTCTCTGATTGAAATACTCGCTGAGAATTCCCGACGTAATTATTTCAACGTGGAAAATATTCGAGGGAAAATAAATCTCAATGTTGTTGCATTTCTATCGAAAATTTTTGACACAAGAATGTTCACTTTTTATTAAAAACGAAACTCAGTAAACATTAGTAATACAAAGTGGAATATTTGTTAATTTTTCAGACATTAAAAGTGTACAAATTTATCAAAAATTTCATTTTAATTTCTCGCAATATTAATCTTGAAATTGAAAAATTTGATATACGAGTGCAATCAGTTGGCAATTTTTCGTTATTTTAAATCATCTAAGTGAGGCATGCTAGAAATATCTTTCTATTAATTATATATTTTTCCAGCGCATTTGTAGCGAATTTTTCTGCTAAAATAATTTAATTAATTGTAACAAATGATTTTTATAAAAAAAAAATATCTCACATAAATTTCATTAGAATGAAATGCTATATTTATATCTTCTTTGCATATGTATTCTCAGACTATATCAAATTACGGATATTTATACAAATTTATGAATACAATTAAAAGAGTAGGACTGTAACAAAGATTTGTATTTTTACTCATTAAATATTATGCTGGTAACGTAAACTTTCTTATACTCTTTGCGTTCCATGTATTTTTATATTTTTAAACTCCTTTAAATCTCTCATAAATGCATGAGAATAAATGGAATAAATCGTTCTCTTGCTGCAACTTTACTGTTCCCTGTCATGCGTGGGACAGGGAGAAGTTATCGTCTATTTTAAGATTTCATGAAAACAGGGGAACAGTTATAAGAAACATCAACGCGAGTCAAGTTGAAATGTTTCAACGTCATTGGCATGTAAATTTCAGTGCAAAAGTGTGTTCGATTTTTATCGAGGGATTAAAAGGACGTTGATTAGAAGTGGGTTGGTCTACGAGGCGTTTTGCACGATTTCGCCAGTCGTGCAAAACGTCCATGTGACGTGCACGATTCTGCGACGCATGCTGCAATCAGCCATACGTTTTTTGTTGATTTGACCTATCAATTTCAAGGATTAGAGGCTCCTGAACCCTTTGGTTAACTAGGTTTCTACTATGCAGGCACGTACTCTAGAAAGTCGTCGCGACGGCGTCGAACCTTCGACTCGAGGTTATCAGATCTTGTAAGTGGTAGGAAATTTATGAACAACCAGCACTTGCTAATGCTCTGATATGTATCCAAGGCCTTTCTAACTATACCTAGGGATATCAAATGCTTTGTTACCTTTGTTTCCTTTCTTGTGATCGATAATGCTAGGATTGTCCTAGTTTTCTTCTTCAAAAAACGAAGAAATCGGCCGTCTTAATTGAAACATTTCTATTCGTTAATCCCTTTTGTCACATCTTCCTGAATGTTACGTATGTTTTAGAACAACAGGGAGAATATTTTTAATAATAATTGTGAGACACTGTCTACGTGATTCGTCAAACGTGTCTTGCCATTGAGTCTTCGAATTAAATTCCCCTCTTCTTATTTAATTACCTATTTGAAATTAACTTCTCTCTGTTTATTACGATAGCTCGTCAAAACGGCGACATGCTACGTATTTGACAATAGAGATCGTTGAAAGCATATCTTCGCCACCTGCTGTGGATAGGATTGTGCATTATTGTCAATGAATAATGTATATAGGGCCCATAACGCGTGTTCTTGTAAAGAAAACCTTATATTATGTTCTCTAACGCACGTGTGGTTGCATATGCGTTAATGTATGAAAAAGTGCGCCAAGGGTGGTAAGAATTCTCTTTAAAAATCTCGTCAACGTTTCTCCATTATTATTTCCTTTAACATTCTTCGCTTTCACATTCAACTTGTGTATTGTTCTGTTTATAAATTTGATTTGACTACCATCACTTTCAATGGTTTCCTTCTTCCTTTGCCACACATGATTCAATAATTAATATATAGTGAATAAGTAACATGATTCCAAAAATCTGAATCGAACACAGTGAATAAGTAACGCGTTCCACGATTCTGAATCGAATTGACATGAATTATTTTTGGAGCTACTTTGGATCAATCGAAATTTATTGGAAATTTTGAAAGAAAAGAAATTCTACTGAATATTTCACTTCTTAATGGACTTTAATTTGAATTTCTATCTAGAATTCATATTTTCCTCTCTTCCTGATTTATGCAACATTGGGCTCTGCTCTAATATAAATACGTCCTACTACAAGTAGACTCGGTAAAAAAAAATGTTTGTTTTACATGTCAAATATTATAGAAAGAATATTTTCATATATTACATGAATCCACATCACATGCAATTTTGGATTTTAAAATTTTTTATAAAATTCCGCAGCCTAATTGTGAGTTTTGTTTCGATTATCATCACGAACAAACATGCACATGTATAATGCCATATTATTTTGATTTATCTTGTTTTTTCACCTCTTCTGGGAAATATACTTTTCCGAGTTATAAATAGAAATATAAATAGAGAGTAAACATTTTAAAGCAATAAATCAGAGAATATCCTAAAGTATCGTGGCTCCGTTCCAGATAAATACGAGAAATATCATTCTTTGAACCTAAATAGCCAATGTACGTGTGCACACATACACATACGTCATGTCAGTAAATATATTCGTCACGATCGTGGCATGTAATTGCTGCGAACCTTTAGTTGTAACAAATTATGCATTCTCGCGGCTGCGACAGCTGTTGTTTACTTTACGTGCTATCAGCATGCATTTATTTGCCTATTGGTATCATTAGTCACGTTCACATGCTTGCTTCGTGCTTTAAGCTCTATAGCCGACTTTGACAGATTCCTGTAATAAGCCTGACATTCGTTGCCAAACGATAACAAAATTCGATATTTTAGTGTTATTTCAGTGCGTTTCGAATGCGATTTAACTCTCACTGTTGCGCGATCAACAGTCGTCAATTTTCCTTGAAAACACACGGAAGGCATAGCTATGTCAAGCATGTAGACAGTAGAAAATAATGTTTATTGGGTTTTCAGAAAATTTATAGAATTCGCGTACAGTTTTCTTTATATTGTAACACTTGTCTTTGAGTTTAGAATAAGCTAGCAGTTCTTTTAATTGAACAATTGACAAATGATGAATAATTTTCGTTTTTCAACAGTCGACTGCAGCTTCAAAGAGAGTAATTTCTATAATTAACCATCAAATTTTACTTTCAATTTTCACTCAAATTGTTCAATTAAATAAAGCAGAATCTCCAATTGGAAGTAATTTTTCAGGATAAAAAATATCAACTTGTAAATCGAAGGTATTACAGATATTATTGAAAAATCATGAAAACCACGATCAAGTTACAAACAATATACATGTAAAAATAGCAAAAAGTAATAGTAAAAGTTTCAGTAATACAAAACGAGAAATAGTTTATGACAATTATCATAAATCTGCAATATGATATAATCGTCATCATGAGAAATAATTATTACAGTATTTCAGCATTGAAAATTGATTGAACACGCGAATAAGTAAATAAATGTTACGAAATTTCTTTCCAAATCGTGTTATGTTATACGACTGACGAATGTCCGTCTTATTTCATTCGAAAACGATTCGTTTCGGATTGGCTTCCCCCTGGGCCGAGTATTTTCTTCGACAGCCGGTCTCTGATATTTCAAGCGCGTCGACGGAAACGTAAGAAGTGATATCTTTACGAGAGTGCTTTTTTTTCCGTCGTTCCCCAACGAACTCCTCGTGTTTTTCTTCGAGCTTACCCGACTGCACCGGTGGTCGTATAGCGAACGACAACCCTGCGATGAGGGATCGAAACGAGGGGTAGGAAGTGACTCACTTTCCAAGCATTCTCAACAGACGCAACACTTGCATCGAACGAGCTTCCATTGTTTTCCTTCTCCCCATCGGATTTTGATGAATCTCAAATACGATCCGATTTTGATCAGCAGCCGATCGCTTGGCAAAGCAGGAAGATTGGTTCGAGTAATTTTATCACTTTGGAAATGCTGGTCCTTTTTATTATTCCTTTATCATTCCAGATTCATTGTCTATTGATTACACAAAAAGACGATGCTGTTTCTTTACTTAGTATTTTCGTCAGCAAATTTTTCATTCGTAATA